GTTGGCAAGCTAGATGGTTCTGAACTAAGGCAAATAAACTATAGTCAAATGGATTTGGCATGGAAACCACTGCTTGGGTGAGAGGATGTGTTGGAAAGTGTTGAACATATGAGCATTAAAGAGGTCTGCAATTGTATTTCAATGGGGGAGAAACACGTTGTGTTTTTTATTTCCTCCCCGTTCTGGCCAAAGGCTATTCCACGCACATCCCCAGCCGTTCTTACACTCACGCCAACTTCCATATAATAGGAGGCCTCGTGTGCAGGATCTGATTGGATCCCTAACAACCTCGAAGACAGGGAGGCAAGTGGGAGGCACCTCATTTTGAGGATGTGGTAACTGAGGCTGAAGTAGGAACTGGCTGGTCCCAGCAGCCAGCAGGTGTAGAGCCATGGGTTTTACTTCCTTGTCCTGCATTCTTGCCACCAACAAACTCCCATTATCTTTCAAGGACATAGAATCAACAAGTTGGCAAATTGAGGCAAATCTCCCACACAGAGAAATCAATGCAACCAACTTTTGGTACCTCTTAATGCAAGTGCTAGGGGCCCTGTTCTTAACTCTGTGTGATCCAGGAATGTCTGTATCTAAGCGAAGAACTAAAACCATTATCCAGGCGATTCAAAAGGGATGAAGTTTCATCCAGAAATAACGTCTGTTCCCACTAACTCAATGCTTGGAACATGCACAGCATGATATTTTTCAAAGCCTTCCCATCTGAGTTTCCTAAGCAACAAAATTGGATGTTAGCAATTCAACCTAAGTGAAAGGACCAGGTGTGACATGTCCTGGGTTTGGTTTGCAGACATGACTGGAATTAGCAAAATGTTTTCATTTAGAAAGAGTATCACCGAGTGTTGGAGGTGAAAGGAACCTTAGAGTTGACCTAATCCAGAACGCCCAGGAGGTTGACCAGTACTATCCCACAGATAACGGTTTGTAATTGGCACCTCCTTTGCCCTGTGCAAACACGGGTCTGTTTGCTGGAGCCCTGGAGGCCAGTTGTTGGAGGTGACAGAATTGAAAGCCCTACTCCTGCATAGTTATGATAAATGAAGCAATAGCTAAATGCCATTAAGGGTTTGCTGTACTAAAGTAAATCTCCATGTTGGGAAGTGTATCCCGTAGCTTCGAGCAAAAATCCGCATTTGTTATATTTATCGTGTTAAAAGAAACTCTGCAATAAGACAATAAACTTACATTTGGCTTATTGCATCACACATCATCCTTGGTGTATATTGAAAAATCTGCCTAGGGGGTTGTCTTTCTGGAAGAACTCCAAGTTTCACACGATATTTAAAAATACAGTTGGCAGATTGAATTTGAACATGAGTAATGCACGTCAATATCTTATGGTTTCTTTAACATGAGTATAGGGGCCCTAAGGGCCTAAGGGTTTGAATGTTTGTTTGTTAGTTAGTTAGTTTGTTTGTTTGTTTGTTTGGCTGGGTACAGTGAACTTCATTGATGGTGCATGTCAAGGTTGGGCTTCCTATCCCCCTCCCCTTTTTCAGATGGAAACCGTGGTCAGGAGATTCTCAGTGTGTTGGGGGGTCCATTTGAGGCAAGGACTCCCCAGCAGCTAAGGGCCTCTCTTCCTCTTTCTGGGGCTGGTAGGCCAGGGGGCTCTTATTCCTTGGAGGCCATGTGGACCATGAGGTCCACCACCCTGTTGTCACAGGAGACCACCTGGTCTTCAGTGTAGCCCAGGATGCCCTTGAGGGGGCCCTCTGATGCCTGCTTCACTACCTTCTTGATATCATCGTATTTGGCAGCTTTCTCTAGTTAGGGGTTAACCACAACCAAAACATTGGGGTGGGACACGGAAGGCCATGCCAGTGAGCGTCCCATTCAGCTCAGGGATGACCTTGCCCACAGCTTTGGCAGCACCAGTAGAAGCAGGGAAGATGTTCTGGGCAGCCCCTCAGCCATCACACCACAACTTTCCCAGAGGGCCATCCACAGTCTTCTGGGTGGTGTGATGGCATGGACTG